CAGCGATAATTCTTTAACACGGTGTCCTATTTTATTAATTCTTTTTTGTTAGAAAGGGGGTACTTCAGGGGTGGTCCCATGTAAATTTGGTCAAAATCTAATAATTTGGTCCATTAGAAAATCCTCAAACTCTTCATTTTTTATGTATGTTTAGCGGTAATTCTTTACCACCTTGTCCGCTTTCTATGATTCTTTTTTTGTTAGTAAAGGGGTATCTCAGGGGTGGTACCCTATAAATTTGGTCAAGATGTGATAATGGCATCTGCACGATTTTGAAGTCGGTTTTTTAAAATAACTTTTATAACTAATCATTTCTAGTTATATTGCTAATATTTAGTAAGCTTATTAGTTTGTCTATCAGTAAAGTTCCTGCACTTTTCACGCTTGCTTAAATTAATTTTGTAATTTTTAAAGCTAAACGTCAATCCAGTAATTAAAATAAAATGGTTAATAACAACTATTTTGATGGATCAAATAATTAAAATGTGGTTTGTTCACAAAAATCATAAAATTTTCTAATCTAGAGATAATAAATATTCATAGATAAAACGTATTATCCTGGATTTAAAATTTAATCTTCTTTTATGCAACCCACTATTGTGTTGTAATTGATTATTTATCATTATCTGCTAAGCTATACGTTTGTGAAAAATTTGTAAGAGTCTATTATTAATAATTATTAATAACAATACCAGGTGACATTTAGTCCAGGATCAAATTTGGAACACACATTCTATACATAATTTAAAATTTACACGTATACTTAAACAACATAGCCGAAAGTGGGTTGCTTCACATGACTTAGGCCTCATTTGGCCCATTGTGCATTTTTCAGGAGCATATAGGACCTGTCTCTCCATTTGTCAAAACTTGCTAGTTGTAGCTGCGAGATGTCTTCTAGAGACAGCCATCTTTCCAGCAGGTCATCAACTCATTAAAAATCTGGTAGTTGACGCTGAGGTGTATCTAGAGCTAGCCTTTTTTGTTAGCTTGTCAAAGTCCTGCAGGTTACTAATTCTTTAAAAACCTGCTGGTTGTCGCTGGGGAGTGTTAAGATATAACCAGCCTCTCAGGTCAAAATCCAGCATTCATAAAAATCATGATTCAGAAATTCATATCGTCTAAAATATTAACTTTATCAAAATTTTATGAAACAGATTTGTCCCGTTTAAAAGTAACAAAATTTTAGTAATTGTTTAAACAATTGCATTTATTAAGCGTATTTTTAAAGGATTCTGACAAAAAATTGCTTCCGAATGGTTTTTACCACGACTGCGTTTAATCCTATTAGACTAGTATCGGTCTTGTATGAAAATCTTAAATTGGATCCAGGAATACCACAAAGATTCAACGCATTTGTTATTTAAGAAATACAATTTCCTATTAATCCATAATTTTTAACCAAAATTTAACAGGATTATTGTATCTGGATTTCTTACAGAATAACTGAATCTTTAACTTTACCAACCTTCATCCTAATACTCAGTAATACATATTAGGTCTGTTCAAACCAATGATATTACAGTACAAATAATGCACTCTACGCAAAAAGTGTTGTTACGTGAAATTTTAAATTAATTTCAAATTTATTTTTAACAACAACTCCATTCACGCTGAGCTAAAACCGGCTGGTGTTGCTTTAAGAGTCCCTTTTTATTTGTCGAACCCAAACTTCAATGTGCTAGTGTTGTGTCGACAAAATCTATTAGTTTGCAGTTATTATGAGTAGATTTAGATAATTATCGTGTGTCTTTCGCATATGCCTATGTGCTACCGTTGGGATAATTGTCAGTGGCTCCAAACTCCGAGGTACGTAGCTACCAAGCTCTAAGCTCCAGGTTATGTAGCTTCTCCAGAAAAGCTCCAAGCTACAAGCTCCAAGTTACGTAGCTTCTCCAAGCTCCAAGATCGAAGCTTCCAATTCATTTTCGACGAAGCTCCGAAGTAGTTTCCACGTTGTTTCCAAGCTTCAAGTTTTCCCGTAGCTTCACGTAGCTCGAAGTAATGTCGAAATAACCTCAGCTATATTCTATTTTTATGTATGAGAGAGTATTAAAATAATAAAGCGTTCGTAATCCATACCACTTCTTTTAGTAGACAGTTAAAATATTTTTTGAAGTTATTCCTCGAGTATACACTTATATTTTCACCTAATTAACCTGCTTATAACTTCTAAACAGCTGAAGGTAAAAAAAAAATGTTTTATTTTTCCACAATGTATGCTAAGAACATTGTGTCAAGCGGGTTATGTAGGTATAAGGGTTTAAACTTTGACTTTTAAACAACGTTACGTTCATAAATAATAATTTTAATATAAAAACTACTTCTTACCTACAAATCCAAATCAGAATCAGAAGTAGGGCAGGACATACTAACTTTCCAATCATTGATATAAAATAAAGAGGAGATCCTGTGAGGATACTAAAACTGCCCGCACATTAATTCTCGACTAATTATTGTTTCAGAATAACGGAAATTAACGTAGCGCACTTATCCTTAAAATTAAAATTTGGCCCTGCATGATATCGATTTTGGTTCAGACGTGAAGTAAGACTTTTTGCCATTAGATAAGATCACTGTTAGTTTAGTTCCTTTCCTATTTGTGATGTACTGTCATTTTTAAGCATTAATAAATCAACACGTAATGAAGCAAATTTCAAATTTTTTTGTACGGAATAGAGAATAAAACCCCCTTTCAACTGAGCTATCACTCACCACCCAATGTCATTTAAATTTTTCGAAAGAGTTGCTCCCCTCCAGTAAGGGATGAAATTAAGGGTAAACTATTCATACAAAAATGTACATTGTAGAAATCAAAAATCGACGTGTGTCGGCGATTTTCCTAACAAAACTTCAGTAACGAGTTAGTAAGGGGGGATAAGACTTATGATGCTCACAAGAATAATTTTTAGACCCTACTTCAATTTTGTATGAATAATTGTTTAATGTTGTAGGTTATCCCTAATGAATTTGTAGTTATAGAAATATATCCTATCTATAAATACTAGAGATACTGATAAACAGTGTCAGACTGATGTAGCAGTGAGGATTTAACTTAAATGATGATGTCGAATGCATTTACAAAAAAATGAAAGCTAAACTTACATTATAGTTTTTTAAAGACGATATAAAAAATAAATATTGCAATTAATTCAAGAATCTGAATCTGAATGTTAGGTATGTACCTATATCAAAGAGACTTACTTAAATATTTACCGATATCAGTACCTGGGATGTAAACTGAACTATGTCATACTATTTATAGAGGCATGTTGTAGATATATGACAGGTTACATTAAATGTACGATAATTATGTCTCTCTCCGGATCAGAGGTTGTAGCTAAGGAGTCTCATTCGCCCCCCACTGCCTCTTCTACGAGTTCCAATACGTGGTATGCCTCATTAACCGACCATTTATTGAACTCTCACCAGTTTTAAGGGGTTCACGAAACATACATGGTTGTCGTCATTAGTAAAATTTAACCGTTTCATTTATATTACCATAATTTTATTCTTAAATCAATAACTAAAACTTTTAGCAACCATTCTCTTTCAGTTCAATTATATACGACACGTGCGCCTCCCATTAACAAAGGGTGGTCAAGAATAAAGTCTCATTAGCTTTATGCAATCCTCTTTGATTTGAAATAAGTGGCTATAGGACCTCATTAGTCCCACACAGATAAAGTAAATTCTTCTTTTTGGCAAACTGACATAATGACAGACGCATGCGTCATGAATTTGACAATAGCATATGTTTTAATTAATTGTTACCTCAAAAAAATTTAAAAAGTTCGATTAAACAACTAGTTGTAAAATTGTAAATAATTTTAAAAAGTTTTATTAATAATTTCAATGCATTGTCTAATATGTTCTTGTCATTTTATATCTAGTCTAGTCATAATATCTATAATAATTTTCATCAATTTCACGAACCAATCTCACTAAGTTGTAAGTAAACACATTAATTAATTGTTCATCATTCAATTATAACTATGCCCTTTAATAAATATTCTAGATTCCTGAAGATGAATGTATTTACATTCAAAAACTTGGAATAAACTTATAAAAGTACACATATTATTTTGCTGCAAACTCAATAACTCAAAAGTTCATTTTCTTACGAGTCAGCAAAAATTTCTTTCTCCCTTGATCTTAAAGTTACAGTAATCAATTATTAACATAAAATTTTTTCTATTATACATTGAGATATAATTATAAATTTTGTTTTTTGTTAACGTCCATACCGAACTGGTTGGCGTCTAAAATCAGTTTAAAAGGATTTAATCCTATAAGTAAACGAAAGTAAAGTAATTTAATTTTTTTTTATTCATTAAATAATTAAATAGCTATTGCGTCACAATATACGAAAATCGTTTTACCATGGTAGTCAACATTTATTAAATTCTCGCTGTTGCACTTTACTCTCATATATTTGAATGGAATTTCTTGCAATCTATTACAATGTTTCAGAATTCGGTTTCATTCAGGCCAGAAAAAATATCAATAGCTCCCCACCCAGTGCCGCAGGATTGGTGGATCATTACTGTTGTTATTGTTCTACCAATGGCAAAACAAATTTATATGCGTGTATTGGTTTTATTTTTAATATTTTTTTTGCCTTTCCGTTGTGTACAATAGTATACAATATAAGCAGAATAAAAATAATGATTACCGTTTTGTTATTAGCGGTGTTACCAGACTCACACTTTTTCCGATAATAATGGTCACGTTGGCTTTTTAAATCCACATAAAGTGCAAATAACAAAAAAAGTATTGGGCATGTCATTGCACTCTCAAATCTCAAATTTTATAGATTTTTGAGAATTCGTTTTGCATTTAGCTTCAAGGCTTGGCTGTGGAACACACTTAATAGGTGACCTGGTCAGATGTCTCCCGTTTGCAAAGTAGTATGACCGTCAATGATAAGAACAATGACGAAAATAATGAGGGGAGGATATTAATAAATTTTTGATAAAAAAATTAGAAAAAAAAAATACCTTTTCATTTGAATATCCATCTTTGTTTACTTCTTTTGGCTTTGTAAGATCTACTGGAATCATGCTAGTTGGATTAGATTGAGATCTGAAATATATCTTAATATCCTTCTCACTGATAGTGTAGCCTGTTAAATCGTTTGTTACATTTTCGGATAACCACTCTCCTGGAGCAACCTCCCTATATAGGACAACTGGAATAAATTAAAAAAATATATATAATCATAATAATTTTAGTTTGTATTTTAAGATCTGAAAAATTCTGCAAATAGAATTTAAAACTACACTCTATTTAAGTTTAAGGGTCATTAACCCAAACGTAGGCCTGAATGGCTATTTTAAATCGTTTTATATGGGTGTTAATGTCTTTGTCTTGTACAATATTTTCTATACCACTCATTTGAGAGTTATGGGTATTAGTCGCGGTAAAAGAACAATATGTTAATATAAAGGATGTAATAGGAGTCGGGACAGATGTGACCCCGTATATTTAAGCCCTCGATACATTCGAGAGCATCTCTTGATTTTTCGAATAATGATAAAATTTAAGTGAAACAGTTGCGACCCTGCCCCTATTAATCCCAAAGAGACGTCGAATAATAAAAGTAGATTTTTTGGTTTACTGATATATACAGAGTGTTTTAGAGTTAAAAGTACATACGTTAACTACTATCACGTCTCGTTACCTAGAATGAATTTATTAATTTCGCCTTGATTTTTATTTGGCCCAAACGCAACAACCAGCAATTGGTATAAAAATTTCCAATTTGGCATGTAGAATCATTTCGATATTGTTAAAATAATTAAATTTAAATAGTAGTTCAAATCCAGGTCCGGCGTAACAAAATTTGATCATTTCTGTTCGTTTCAAAAACAACACTCTGTGTAACCAAATTTATATCTGATTACATATTTGAAAATGGCGGAAAAAATCGATTTAGTTGTGTCTTTTAAATACCCTCTATAACTTTACTTCGATAAGATAATATTAATTTGTACACAACACTTCAAAGAATATTATAATTTACTTATCAAGAAAATATTTGTTTAAATCTTCTTAGTACCTTTTAGAGGAGCAATTACGTTTATAGTCCGTTGCAAATTTTAATTTGTAACGATAATAGCTTGTTTTTAAAAATATGATAAGGGTTACTTTAAATCTTTCTTTAGGTAATAATATGTAATATTACTAATACCCATGATTGGTTTTAATATTACTAATAATATAAAAAGCTGTTACTTTATTTATTCCTTTTCTTAAGAATGAGTAAATATATAGTAATATCGATAATATAAAATGTTGACAAAATTTGAAAATGTTTAGTTGCATTTAGTATATCTTTATTCCTTTTTACAATATTTGCAAATCAAAATTTACATCTACAACAACATTCAATTTTACGAAGAGATCTTCGCAGAGAGTGTTGCATTTAGTATTTGTGCATGGTGTGATACTTAAATTTTACACTCTGTAATATTGTTATTGAAAACCATGGATAATTCGAACTTGAATTTAGCGAAAGTACCAAAGGGAAAAAACTTGCCTTTTACAAAGGTTACTTGTATAGAAAGCAAAAAGTAGCGAAACATACTATCATACGCTGGGTTTGCTCCAAAGGAAAGTCCGAAATACGTAAAGGAGCTATGGTGACCAATAACAATATCATTTAACATACTGTGGACTACAATTGTAAACCTGATACCGCTGCCGTAAATGTGGAAAAAGGGGGTAAAACATTCTAAAAAGTAGCTATCACTCTGCTGTGTCAAGAAGAAACTTCTTGTAAAATTTTTTAAATTTACTTACAGACATTTCTTTAAAATGTTGTGGGATAACCTTGTACATTGCATAATTATTATAAGTGAAAGACCGTCTAAAAATAGCAGTATTATGTATTGGAGGTGAGATACGACCACAAAAACGTAAATTGAGGTTATGAATATCAGAACGATACCTTATTTTATTAAAAAGATATGGAGGGGATTTATGTAAAATAACAGAATAAAACAAATTAGCCGAGTGTAAGTTTCGTCTGGATTGCATATCTAGCCAGTTTGAATCCTTGAGTTTATGAGAGACTCTATCAAATTTCCGTATTCCATAAGAAAATCTTAAACAAGATTTCTGTACTCTCTGAATTCTAATTATGTCTGCGTTATCTAAACAGGGCCCATAAACTGAATCACAAAAGTTGAAATTACTCAGAACCAGGGAATCTGTTAATAACAATTTTGTTGTAGTTGGAAGAATATGTCGATGTGGGTAAAGCATTTTTAAATTCATGTAAGCTGTTTGGATGCACTTGTTAGCGTGAAGTTTAAACCTCAGTCATTATCAATTACTAAACCTAAATTGCGAGCAGATGAGGAAAATGATAAAATATTCCCATCAACTAGAATCTGCATTTCATTTTGTAGTTGATGTCGGTATTTACCAAATAACATTACTACATTGACAAGGGGGGTAGCCATGTGTGAGTTGAGGTAATTTTAAGGTGAAGATTTAGAAAAAGTCCTTTATATTTCACAAGGAAAGTTAATGTTTAATTATTCAGTAAAACATTGAGTGCGACCGGTTTCGAAGTATCATCACTTCATCTTCAGGCTCGCCTAGTGGAAAGGAGAATATGTGGTGTAAGGTGTGTTAACTTTGAGCTAACGATATATAAAATAGTAAAAAAGAAAACTCACCATACTCTCCATCCTCTAGGGAATACTACAAACAAGTTTCATCAAATGTGGGGGATAAAATAAATTGTAAAATAAACAATGTTACAAGTTATATAAAAGTTAAAAATATTTGAAAAACAAATATTAGTCAGTTTAAATAGTTAAAAATTTAAAATGTTCAAGACTATACAGAACAAGACACATACATTAAACAGATTAAAAAAGAAGGCTTATTTTAAACACATTGTTGTTTTTTAAAAAAATAATTAGTAGTGTTACTTAACCTAACATTTTTGAAAGGAGACCTGTCAAGTTAAGGCCTCTACAGGTGGTGGTAAGTAATAACAAAAAATTCTTGGATAAACTTATGACAGGGTATAGGTAATAAGATGCAAACTATGAGTGAAGAAATATTTATTATTTATTATATAAGATTTGGGCCATGAATCACCAATCACCAAGTGCATGTGATGTTGTAGGATGAAAAAGAAAGAAGAAGGAATGACTGGGTTAACTGTTGTGAAGCAACTGAAAGATAAAAGAAGAAAAGAAGAAAATGACAGAATATGAATATCACATAACCTATTCTTTAAACATGCTCGTTGGTTTTTTGTGGGAAAAAATTACTTACTGAAATGTACCCCTTGCAAGAAAATATGTGAATAGAAATAAAAGGGGAGGTTAAAAAGGAAGTTAAAACGATAAATTTAGATTAGTGTTGAGAAAACTGGAGGAGTTTCTAACATTATCTGAGCATTTAAGCAACCAACAGGATTTAATTTTTTTTTTTTTAATTAAAATTTAAATTAATCCCAGTGATTTGGGTTTCTAGTAGATTTATATTTGTTAAATGCCTTATCTCTAAGCTTAATCATCAATTTACCATTATCGGTTAACCAAGGTGGGTTAGGCTTCTTAAATTTAATAGTATGAACTGGCACTAAGGTATCAAAAATATTTAATATCGTGCTATTAAGATATTCAACCTTATCATCAATGTTATTAAAAGTAATAATATTTTCAAAAGGGGTAAATAGCAGCATTTCTTTTAAAATAACACGATTAATGTTTTTTAAATTTCTAAACTGAAATTCTTTGTGAGGATCAACTGAATGAAGAAAAAATAGTACCTGTGAAAGACATGGGATATGAATTGATTGCTGCTGTTTCGTCATATACATCTGTCAAAAGAACATTCAACCGGATTCGACATGCTGCACGAATCGTCAAGTGCGAAATAAATTGTCCTTTCAGACGATATTAATGCGATAGAAGATGGCAGTACGTTTTTATTTGCTGATAATGATATATCAGGGTACATTATAATGGTGTTTTTATCCGATTGTGGACAAAGTCTACTCAGTACAGCCGAAACAATATTTATAAATGGAACTTTTAAAAGTTGGTTTAAACAATTCTTGTAATTATATTCGTTTCATATAGACATAGGAAGCAACTGCATCGAAATAAACATAGTTCCTGTAATGTTTGCGCTACTGCAAAACAAGCAGAAGGAAAGCTATATTAGATTGTGTGAAATAATAAAAGAAAAACTTCCTAGGTGCAACAGCAGCTTTGAGAAGCACTTTTCCAAACATCAGAATTAGTGGTTGCAACTTCCATTTCAATCAATGCTTATGGAGGAAAGTACAAGAGTTGGGACTAACCGAAGAATTTAAACAAAATGCGGAAGTCAGGTTACATGTACGTATGTGTGCAGCATTAGCCTATATTCCTCCCATGGAAGTAGAAAATGGTTGGTTGAGCATTATGGAAGGTGCCCTACTACTTTAAAGTTAAAAGTTGTAAGATTATTTCATTGAACAAAGGATGGAAAATTCAGTCCTAGACATTGATATATTGATCATCTTTGGTCAAAAGCATCCAACAAACAACTTCGTGATTGGCTGGAATCACAGATTAAATATGGCCATAAAAAACCCTCACCCACATATACAATTAATTTAGTGCCTGAAAGGCGAGTCCATATATATTTTTATTTCATTTTGTCAAGTAAATCTACTTATAGTTTCTTTTAAAGATAATTTTTGCTTTTTAACAATTTAATATCAGTATTTACTAATACATATATTACTCATTTGCTTCCGGAAAATGGAACATAACAGTATCAGATACTGTAATGTGTTGCCTAGGCAACCTTGTTTTTATTTTAGAAACAATTACTTTTTACTTTATTTCAATCACATTTCGATCTTATCTATTTGGCAATAAATAGTAATCATACTTAACTATGGAAACAATGGCTCAATTACAGTTAAGGTAATGATGTAAAATTGCTAACTATTTTTTATTTTTAATTTTAATCAACACATCTATTTATTCTTTTTAAAAAGTATTATAAAGACAAGATGAAATAAAATATCATACGACACACGTCCGTTAAGTGTTATTACAGTACTCGTTTAAATACAACTCATACTGTATTAAGTCACCTACCGGATTTTAAACGTAAAATACTATTACAGTTTTTCATTATTCGACGTCTGTCTCGGTTCATCATTAT